GAAATTTCTTCAAATGTCATTTTTCTGCTTTGTAATACTATTATAAAAATTATCCGAAAAGTATTGAAAGTAAAGAAAGTTGTCAAACTTGTATTTTTCATATTTTTAGTAAAGGTTTGTGGTTTCTGAGTGTGTGCTGTTTAAAATGGATACAATGTTTATGAAGAAAAATTAATTTCCGTAGGTTTTTCCAAATCACTCCCGAAATTAAAATTACTCTTTGTAAACCGTTTTTTGAAAACAATGAAAAGTTTTGTATAATCTTAATATTATCATTTACTAATTGTAATAATATTTCTCTGTTCTTTTTACTTTCCAATAGATATTATAAATTTGTTGAATTCGTTAGAATTCATAATATAGTATAATGCTATTCTTAATAATTTCGTGTAACTTAATATATATGTATGTATTAAAATAATCATATATCCTTTCAAGGTATATAAAAAGATATATTAATATACTAAGATATATTATTAAAAACGCGTAGTTTAATAGCTTTCAGAACTATAAATACGTATTATAAATAAATAATGCCTCGTAACTTGAAAGTAAAGTATACCCGTGTTTGTTAATTTTTTAACTGCAACCATTTTTTCTCTAAAATTTGCTCACATGTTTGAATATTAAACCATCTTAATTCAACACACGAATATAAATAAAATAAATTTATTTACAATGAGAAGTATAACTATTTTGCCGACTTTTTAACTGTCATTTGAAAATCTTTATAGCATTGTCGCTGTAATTAAATAAAAATATAGTGTCACTCTAATTATAAACATTTTTTGTAATTTAACTCTTATTTATTCTTATGAGCTATAAACTCTTAAAATTTAACGCAAGTTTCCTTAAACGTCTTGCAATGCTTTCGTAATTTACTTATATTTATTTGGAGGTTAGGGTAAAATGATAAAAATATTTATATACTTCGGGTCTTATATAAATTTTAACGTTTCTATTTTAATCTGTAGGCAAATGAATTAATTTCGAATTTCAGTTTGAAATTGAAAGATTTTTATTCTCGCAAAGGACACAAAGGTTATTGGAATTTTGCATAAAAAAAATATTGATAGTAGCAACAATTTTTAGTAACTTAAATTTGGAGATGTAAATCGATTTTTATTAACATAATTTAATATTTTATTCAAGAAGCTAATTTTTAATGTATGTTAATAATTCTTAAGTAAAGCTGTAAGAATTATAGTAACATAATATGACAATATAAGCATTAAGAATTTACTCTTAAAAATTACTTAAATCTCACACATGTGCATATTTTTCTTTAATAAATAGTTTACCGAATATTCAAAAACATTGACAGACGTTACCCCTTCATCATGAACTATAAATAACAAAAATATGCGTTAAATATTTATCCAAATTCTATATTACAAAGTTTGATAAAAATCAATGCTTTTTGTAAACAAAAAATTAAATCAGTTTCAAAATCCGCAGGATAATATTTTTTACACCCTGTATCTACCCGCTCAAATAATTTCCGTATACTTAGCTGAAGATTGTTTAACATTGTACATATATGTAGAATATACGTACATATGTAAGTACATCACATATTTAATAAATATATAATATGTAAAGAAAAATAGTTCACATTAATTCTAACAAATACCTTATTTAAATGAAACAATGTTCGATCACTTAATTCAATTATGAATATTCGCATAAATTATTTTCGTTTATACGAACAATAAATATGAGATTTCATACTAATTAAGTTTTATAAATATAAGATTTCTTAACGTACAGTCTGCTGCAAAAATAATCAGACTGAATTTTCAGAATTAAAATTTCACACCCTGTGCACAGATCCATAGCTGACAAAATACCCTTCTGTTCATTTTGAAAATTATATATAATTATATTTATGTAAATTGCATGAAAAATAAAGTATAATATTAATAAAATTTCGTGTATAAAAATAAAGAGCATCAGAAACATATGAATAATCATTTAACGTCGAACTTATACTTCTAAATGAAAAATAAATAAATGAAGGAATGGAAAATAAATTAACATATAGAATTATTCTTCATCTCGACAAAAGTCAGTATATATTTCGACAAAAGCATGTTAATAATTTTCGTAACTTAAAATAAGAAATCTGAAATCCGCCATTTTGGCGGGCATGATTGTTCCAGCGTTTTACAAATTTTGGAACAATCAATCTCATTACGTTTAAGACAGACCGCGTAAAATAATGTGGATATTATTTATTCATCGCTTGTGTAGAAATTATACAATGTTAAAATAAGTTTTAACAAGATGTACGAAGACTTTTTCTTCATCGTCCTCAAAGGGTTAAACTTATCGAAACAAACGTCCAACATACCATTTTATTTTTTCACCCTTTTTCACCAATGTATATACACCACCATCCAAAAGTATTAGAGTACTCGCTATATAAATTACGTTTATTGCCTAATTATCATAAAAGCGATTAATTTTCTTATTTAGCTAGCTTAAAGTTAATACGTCGCTTCACTGGTTATGGATTTTAAGTATTAGGGTCGATCCTTGTTTTGCGTTATATTTTACTATGAAATAGTTACTTTTAGATAAGATATTGGAGCTCTTTTGTTGCTCGTGCGGCAACAATTACCTTATCAAAAGAAGAGTATTGTATTCTGTTGGAAAGATATAGAGGTAACCCTATTGTAACGCGGTTTTTGTACAGAGTGGCTTGAAAATTTCGATCGTATAAATATGGTACTTCCAGAAAACGGTTTGGAAATTTAGTCCTTTTTTGTGATATGGAATTTTAGAAGAAATTAATTAGACAATATTCAAAGTATTGTATTGTATAGGATGTTAAAAAAAAGAGATTTAAGAAGTTAGGGGTTTATAGCAATGGACTGCATCGTCAAGTTTCGTGGACGTCTATATTTTAAAATTTGGAAAATGTTTTTAATTCCAAGATTTTGAGTTCAAACATTTGAGAACTTGGAAATTTTTAATTTGTGTGTTCTAAATTTAATATTTCGATATATTTAACTGATTTAATATATTAATTTTTAAAGGTTACATTTGAGAAATTTCTCAATTAAAAATTTTTTTACGTGAACTTGTAACTGTAAATTTGTAGATTTGGAAATTTATAAATTTGAGAAACTTGCATTTTCATATGTTTAAGTTTGTGGATTTCTAAATAGTTAGACTTTCAAATTTACTAATTGAAAAATTTTATTGTGAAAAATATAGAAATTTTCAAATGTTTAATTTCAATATATTTGAATATCATTAATTTGCAAATTTGTAAATGTATAAATTTGTAGATTTGCAGATTTACAGATTTGGAAATCTGGAAATTTGTTATTTTTATATTAAACTTGTGGATTTTTGAGTTTATGAATTTCAAACGTTTTAAAAGTAAAAGTAAAAGTGAAAGTAAAAATTCTAAAATTGTTAAAATCATTAGTTTGATATAAAATATGTGAATTTCAAAATTAGAAATGTCTGCATATCTAAACCTGTAAATTTTTAAATTTTTAGATTTAAAAATATGTAAATTTGGCTATTTGTAAATTTCCAAATATCTAAATTATTCAGTTGCTTGCAATAAATAGACGTCAAACAATTATTTCTTATTTGATGGATACATAAAACTTAGTTTTAGTTGATATTATATTATTACCAATGAAACATTTTCACTAAACTCAAATTTAAGTGTTCATTTATTATTACAACAGAAAAATGGCAAATATGCATTTATGTATGGTTTAGCCAACAGAAATACAATATTTTGTAGCCTTAGAGATATTTATTTGTTTCTCTTTTCAGCAGCATTTTAATTTTTTCTTTTTTTTTTTTGAACGGTCCAATTTTCCATATTAATACAATAGAATATCTTTTTCGACAGGATATATAATTGCTTGTAATCATAAAAAATTACGTTATCTTTATCTCCATCTTCCTATGGAATATACATACACATACGAATTTAAAATATTTAAAAATAATAAAGCTTGAGAAGAACCACATTGTCAACAAAATGTGTAATATTGTTTTGTTAATCTTCGTATCAGTGTCATTCATAGGAGATCAAAATAAAGATAAAAAAATTTCCAAGCCATTGTTTTAACTTAACATAATTAGATACTTGTTAACTTTTTTCAGTGAGTATTATATCCTCTCAAATTATTGTATCCTTAATTTTAAAATGCTTTGTATAAATGCTCTTATATTTACATAAATTCCTCCATAATACTATAAAGAACTTACAAAAATCGTAGTAAGTGTTATTCAGGCAAAGAAGATTTTTGTATAATAATAAGAACAAAAAAAACATTAAACATTGTTTTTAAAGTGTTTCTACCATTGTTCTATATTAATTTAAAGCGTAATATTCTAGGAAGGTAGCATTTTACTTTCAAGTTTCACTGATTTCTAACATTAGAAATCTCCAAAGCATCAAGTGTTCTATTCAATTTAAAAAAATTAACATTCAATTTTAAAAGTTGATGAAGTACCCCAAATTGAGCAAATAATTAACTGCACTTAAAAAATTATTGTTGAATTTGTCTATTAATTACTTAAAACTCCCTAACATATTATAACGTATTATAATAAAGTCATATACGATTAATGATTGCTCATATGCTTTATATTCAAGCTTATTTCCAAAATATTTCTTTAAAGAATACTGTTATGTATTCATATTTGCTAATGCTAAATATTCAAGTTCTTAAACTTTTAAATTTATAAATGAACAAATTTACTGCTTTACAGTTTCATTAATTTAGACATTTAGAATCTTATAAATCTGTAAATTTACAAAATTATAAATTTGTAGATTTACCAGTTCATAAATCTACAAAGCTACAAATGTATAAATTTACTGATCTGCAAATTCACAAATTTATATATTTGAAAATTTACAAATTTAGATTTATAAATTCTCAAATTTATGCACTTGGAAATTTACAAATCCACAGATACAAAAATACACAAATTTATGCATTTAAAAATTTACAAATCCACAGACTTATAATTTATATATATAAAAGTTCACATCATTAACAAATACAGAAATGAAAGCTTTTGAAATTCTCAAGCTGTTCAACTGCCAACTTGGGAAACCTACAAATCTGGACATTTAAAAAGTAAGAAATAGACAAATTTTTTTAATTTCTTAACTTCTTAATTTTGAAATTAAGCATATGCTACACTGTTGCTATGTCAACATTTCACGAGTACCGCCATATTGGTACAGACGTACCTGCCTCTGCTTCAACATTAAATATATTATAGCCTATACTATAATATATTATACTATTGTAGTATGTACTATACATATTAAATATATTGTAGCATTAAATATATTCGTAAAATAATAAAATTTTGTTTCGGTACAACTTAGTACGTATTTCCGTGTTACAGTAAAGTTACCCGTGTCCAAAACTTTGTGTTCAAAGCGTACACGAAATTTGCTAAGTACTCTATTAGTTTTGAATGGTAGAAGTTTCATCGCAAAACGTCGGTGTCTTTTCTCCACCATGCTTATATAATATGTACAATAACGTGCGCTCGTTGAATGTCTCTTTTTTTTGTTTTTGTCATTTTTTGTTCTTTACTGTCGCGAAACGTAGTATCGTTCCGATCGACGACGGATCGAGAAGGTATAAAAAAAAGGCCAGGGACACTGACACTTATCTCCATCCACCTAGAAACTAAGATATTTACAAATCTACAAGCGAATGTGCCTCGTCTACATTGTCTATGAGTAGGCTGCACAGAATCAAAGCGTATCAAAACGACACTTTTCCTTTTTTGCGCGATAAAACGTTAATCATCTCGTAGATTACAGTGCTCTCCCAAATGAATCGCACCGACTCGACGAATCTCTCGACTATACTTCGTCTCGTCTATTTTTTTTACTTTTCTGTTTCGTTTAACCCCCGTCTCGATTTTCTTTGCTCTTAAATTGAAAAAATACTATGTCATGTACAGATTGTACGCACTGTGCGCGATCGAATCGATCGACCTCAGAAGATAACAACCTACGTAACGCTAGAAATAGAAATAGAAGTAGAAATAGAATTCTATGGGAATCGGCGAGGGTGTCTAAGACATGCCGCTCATCGACCACGTACACTTACGATGCTCTATTTACACGACGACGATCGTACGCGTCATGATATTATAAGTACTCCGTTTGTTATTTCATTTTTCGTTTATCTTCCTTCGGATCTCGTCCGAAGAGAATCGTTCATTTCGTCGAGATGAAATCTAACCAGAAGAATGCGTGGCTATTTATTGTATTCGCAGTTTGTACTAAAATTTTGCCTTGTTTCGCAACAAGGGCTGAGAAACACGCTTGTGAACGCGGCATCTCGACTCGTGAATGAGTAGTCGGTGGAATATCCAGTTATGATTGTATAATGAACTGCAACTTAGGCTTTCGTTGGTTAAAAACAAGCATAAATGAAGAAATTCACCATTTGCCGTTGATTAACTCTGGGGAGAGCCTGAAGAAACCCTAGGAAAACTTAAATTCTAAAGGGAGGTCATACAGGATTGGGAGAGATAGGAAGATAACAATAGGAAACTAGGAATAATACTAGAAAACTAAGAACAACATTAGAAAATTAAGGATTACAATAGGAGACTAGGAATGATACTAGGAACCCACTCAGATCAAGATCATAGAAGCATGTAGAGGATCATGATAGAATTTAGGGTGAACTCTAAGAGAACCCTAAAGAAATCTAAAGGAGATATTGATATCTAAAGAAGATATAGTTTAGGAACATAGGAAATGGCTAAGGAACTTAGGAAATATACAAAGGAATTTTATAAGTTCAAGAGTTGGGGACTTTGAGAAGTTGGAACCTTGGGATTTTGAAAGACTAAGATGAGGTTAGTGAGTTTTAGATTATTAAGATCTTTATATTATAGCATAACATTTTGGAATCTTGGAGAATTATGATGGATTGTTGAAAAAGATATAGTCCATAACGGTCCAGAAAGAACCTAGAACTTAAAATACACTTAGAACTTAGGTACAACCTAAATGTACCTAGAAGCAACCTAGATGTGACCTAAGGTAAACACAGAAGGATCCTAGAAATATTCTAAGGAGAATTTTGGAAATCTAGAAATGTCTTAGGAGCAGCCCTGGGATAACCTAGGGTAAAATCAGTTCTCCAGTTCTCCACAGACCAAAAATGATGGAACCTTCCTTCATATTTTTGCCTAATTAGAGAAAGCCTAAGTTGCACCGTACTTCCGTGTATGATTGATCCGTCAACTCTCCAACAACAAGAATCTAACCGGAAGTCGGTATTCTTCCCACCGACAAGGAAACATCGTGGAGAAATAGAAAAATGATCGAGTAGAAAAATGTCTTCACATGTAGCCGTCCGGCAAATATCAACTTGGAAACAGTAACGAGCGTAGCAAACAAAAAAGATCGTGTAGCACCTTGTCTCGTATCACCAGCGACCTTATCGTCGTTAAACTTAAGAAAGAAAAGGAAACGGAAAGAGACAACTCTTCGTGATTAACACCTTGACGGCAATCAGTCACTACACTGCACCGCGTGATTCGAAGGTTAGGACAAAATGTTTTGAAACCAACCGAACTTATCGCGAAGAACGCGACGCAGTGATCAGGTCAGGTTAGACTTATCTCCAACCGTGATAATTTGTTGAAAATGGCGGTTTGTTCGCGAAACATTTCCTCGAAACGAAAACGAGAAATTGACTACTCTACGTAAGATTTCTAAATGAGTGTCGATATAAGGCAAGAGGTTAAATACAAAATGGAGAAAGTTGCAAGAGCTTGAATGACACGAGAGGCCGTCAAAGCGTCGTTCTAAGTACGTTTCAAGAGTATTGGAAAGATTCGCTAAAAGCTCGAGGCTGTGTTGAAGAACAGGCCATTTTCTTCGATTGATCAAAATACAAGGTACGCGATAAATCTCTCAACCTTTTCTCTCCTGTGTATATGTACGTATATACGCATGTATGTATGTATGTATGTGTTCTTTGTTCTTGCGGTCAGACAACAATATTTAACACCGGTCTAACGATTAACAATCAGACTGCGATCCGAGTTACGCTTACAGATTATACACGCTTAACGGTTTATGTACAGTTTACAGAATACTACGTGCCATTATTTACAATCGATAAAATTTTTATTGGCGCTTTCATAATGCCACTCGGAATACATATTGCATCTCTCCTGTGTATATAATATTATGTGTTAATCGTCCATTCGACGATGAATGAGCTCGAGAATGGAACAGAAACGCTCTCCGTGTTCTGTTCGCGTCGAGTCTCGTTCTTGCACGAAATGTCAAAGTCTCAGAAATTAAAACAACGCGTCATTGCACAACGTTCGTTTGGAACGTTTGAAGATTTGCAAACTTCGACTTTACTGAAACGAAATACGGTACATCCGTCGATCAACAACTGTATGCTCGATTAAGAGAAAAATCAACGACTGTAACAACGTAATAACCTTGAAAGAAAAAAAGAAGGAAGAAACGTATCTCGTTCAGTGCCGATAACAAACAACGCTTGTGTCTCGTTGACCCTGAACGTCTTCTGGATCGTACCAAATTACGATCACGAATGTCTTTGATAAATCCAGAATGCTGGATTTATCGCGCGTGGCGTAGCGACGACCACGGCGTTTCATTTATTTCGCAGTAATCTTTGCTGACGACAATTAAGTAACACCCGTTAACTTAATCGTCAGCTTTAGCTGTTCTCAAACAACTCCTGGTTGCATAGTCAACAGGTACGTGGTTGGATCGTAGTAGCCAGCCAAATAGTAGATGTCGTTGTTATCGTAGATGGTCAAATAACGGTGAGGCTCCTTGCCCAGCTTATCGGTGTATTCTTGAAGAGGAAGCACTTCACATTTGTGGGAAATTGTCTGTACGTCGTTCTCGTCCATGTGAGGGGATTCGAACAGGGCGCCCTAGGAACATCGACAAAATATAAACTTATGGTAACTGGAAATTTGAAAGAGGATTTAAGTATTGACAGTTTAATTGTTGAGTGGTGCAGCACCAAAATTACCTTTTAGTATATGCTGCATTTTTAATCTTGGTTTCTTGGATTTATGGAATTGGACACTGGAGTTTTATCATTTTTAGATTTTGATACTTATGAGATGTTTTGATTTTTTAAATGTTTAAATTTTGGGATTTTAAGACTACTTTGAAAAATTTAAAACTTTAAAAACTTTTAAGACCTCGGAATTTTTATTGAGATAGAACTCTGAAGTTCTAACTACATTCTCGAATTCTCAGATTTTCAAAACTACTATTGAGATTGTCAAAATTACTCTAAATAAATAAAATCTCAGACTTGAAAGATTCACTTATGTCGCTTTACTGTAAAATTCTGTTACATTTCTTACCGGATACTTCAAGTTTGTCGGGCACCCAACAGTCTCTTCAGGATGGTAGAACCATTTGACTTTAACGATCATGTTAGAACTAGAAGTTTCCCACATAGATTCGATGCGTCCAATATATGGCCGATCCGGTCTGCCAGTCGATAAAAAGACCGCACTGTCACCGATTTGAATCGTTTCGCTACCTCGTTGAATCGCCCTGAAGAACTGCTTCTTCGCTCTGCCTTTAGCACCAGGTCGTCTGTAACCTTTTCCAGCCCAGCCCCATAATTGTCTAGCTGGAAGGAACGCGGCCATTTTGCTTCGACTTTCCACTGATTCTTGTCGTTCGCGCATTTTTGATTTTTTGTCGGACTTCTTCGGCTTTTCGGGTTTCTCTTCGCGAACTGGTTCTTTCACCGGTTCCGGGATTACTTCCTCCTCTTGCATTGGCTCCTCTTCAACTTCTTCTTCTATTTTCGTCACCGGCTCCTTCGCTGGTTCCTCTTCGCTTTTCTGTCCACAACAGCTCTCCCCACTGCTGAAGTTGTAAAAGGAACTGTTAGTATTACAGACTTTTTGTTATTCTTTGAAATACACTTTAACCCCTTAACCTACAGCTTTCTACAACTTTCTTTAACTTTAACTTACAATTTTCAAACCTGATGTGCAGGTGTGTCATGCACAGCTAGTTAATTATTGTTATAATGTCAAGGCGACTAAAGAAAGTTAAAATGTTAAGCACGTTTTGTCTTTAACGATCCTTGATTACAGAGATTATAATTGGAATCGATTCCACAATTTAATTGCAGTAAAAATACGAGTCTGGCTTATCATATTTCAACTTAGTGTGCATCATGAATGTGATTCAATATTGTAGGATAAGGGGTTAAAATACTAGTTGTTTACCATTAGTAGTTAAATCAATAGTAGTGAGATCATTTAGTTGACCATTTAGTTAGACCATTTATGTCAATAGTAGTTAGACATTTAGTAGTTGACCAGTTTTTAAAAAGCAAAATAATGAGGTTTCCATAAATTGTGTACTTTTGATGAATGTAAACTTCAAGTGCCGCATCAGTCGATCAAATTGTAAAACAATCGACTCTCGTTATTTAATAACAGAGCAGTCAACCATTGTTCACGTGGAAGATTTCTCTTAATTAGTCAACTAGTGATATCATGATTAAATAGCAATTTGGCCACCATAATAAAACAGAACAAACCTGATGTGACTTCCATCACTATGACTGCTATGATGGCTGTGCTTGTGTTTATGTTTCCTGTGTTTCCTGTGCTTGTGTTTCCTGTGCTCCTCACAACACTTATGTCTCCTGTGCTTCTTCTTTCCTTCCTGAGCCTCCTGTAATCTCTTCAACTTGTCTCTCCTCCTTTTCTTCATACGTTTCCTCTCGCGATATTCCTCCAACTCTTTGCTATCCATATCATCGGACTTGTGTCTTTCTACCGACGGTGTATCAGACGATGTAACGTAACAATTCGTCGTGGATGTAACGGTGGTCACCGTGTTGTTCGTGTTCGATGTAACGATGGGTTGAGTGTTCGTCGACGAACGTTTGTCTTCCGTCGAAACCGACGTTTGACGTCGGCGTTTGCCCAACGACATCAACGGATTTGTATCGTATTCTGAAATTTTAGGTATAATTATATTTTAGAAGTCGTAGAAAATTGAAATTATAGGTGAATGTTGTGGAATATGATTGTTAAGTCCTTAACAAGTAAAATCAAGACAAGCTAAGTCTCTGAACTCCCAAATCCCTGAATTCCCAAATTCTCAAATTCCTACATTCCCAAATTCCCAAATTTCTAAATTCTCAAATCCCTAAATTTCTAAATTTCTAAATTTTCAAATTCCCAAATCTCCAAATTCCCAAATCTCTAAATTCCCAAATTCCCAAATCCCTAAATTCCCAAATCTCTAAATTCCCAAATTCCCAAATCCCTAAATTCCCAAATCGTTCAATTATCAAATTCTCAAATACCCAAATTCCTAAATCCCTAAATTACCAAATTCCCAAATCCCTGAATTACCAAATTCCCAAATACCCAAATTCCCAAATTCCCAAATCCCTAAATTCCCAAATCCCTAAATTCCCAACTTCTTAAATTCCGAAATCCCTATATTTCCAAATGCTTCCACATATTCAAACTTGATCATCCTCAAGCATATTATTATTTACACAGATTCAAGAGAAAAGCTACTCTTAAAGTAAAGTTACAATGAAAAATCAGGCTATAAACTTCATACAACGACCACCTTAACATCAAATCTTCTAAATTTCCACAATGTTTTGTAAATAAGCAAAACGTACCAACAACAGGGTAATCAGGTTGCAGCAACCTGATATCATCCAAAGCGATTCTTCCGCTGTCTCCATCATCGAATTCGACACTGACAAATTTCTCGTCGAGTTCTGGATCAGGTTCCGTCGGCTCAACAGACGTACCTGGATATAAACATCTATACTGTTGGCTCCAGTACGCGCATAATCTTGTACCAGGTGGTAATTCCTTCGTCGAAGTGGGACAAATTTCTACAATCTGTGAAGATAGAAATTATAAACGTTAAGCTTATTACTGAGAAACTACATAACGTGAACTTTATCATAAGTAGACTAAATTAAGTTGACGTTCATTGCATTAAACAAATTTTGCTGTACGAGGATTTCTAATTCGAAATAATCTACTCTAAGTAATTATTTTTAGTTATCTGTCAAAATAGTGTAGACAATTATTTTAATGATTTCTACTAATATTTTAAATGATTGTTTTCAGTTTTAGAATAATCTAATAATCATTATCAATTTTTTTTAAATAATTTGAATAATTAGTTTGAACCGTAGTTGAAAATGATTTGGACATTTATTCTCAGTAGTAATTTTTAAAAATTACATAATTATTTACAAAAATTTATATAATTGTTTACAATCATTTTTCAAAATAATGTAAATATTTATAATTTTTTAACATAATTTAGATCCTTTTTAATATAATTTGGATAGATATTTTGAAGAATGTTTAAAAATGTTCTGAATCATTATTGGCAGTAACTTTAAAAAACAATCTGCTCTATTGTTTTCAGTAAGTTTAAAAAATACTCTAGATATCTAATTCCAATAATTTTTAACTAATTACTTTCCATCTAATTAGAAACTTCTGACTGAAAATAATCATCTCTTGATTATCACAGATTTCATCAACTTTGAACAAGTTTGACTGATTTCATCAAAATGTACAAAAAAAGCAGTACCACAAATGCCCCACTGATTTACAAAAATTCGAGTGAAGATCTTTAAGCGCAACAAGTATAAAATTTTTTAAAGTCCTTCGCTCTCATAATCTCCACATCAGTTACTATATTAACTTTCCAAGCGTAAAAGATTTAAGTGTGTTATGGTTGTAGCAGGAAGGTGTACAAATAATTTTGTAAATCCAAATCGTGTAAATCCAGAGGAATTTACCGCATCTCGTAGAATCTCCTCTCTGGAATGGATATGGGGTCTGTTGCCACGTTCTCCGTCCAGTGTGATGGCATAAACGTCAGGTGCTTGGACGGCACTGAGTCTTCCGGCGTAAAATAGACCGCCCATTGCAGTCAACACCCTCAGCTGGTCTATGGCCAAGTGTGCCGACGTTAATTTGCATCTGTTCACGATTTCCGTCTTCTCCGCTCTCGCAGCTTTCGCGCACTCTTGGCACTCGAGCGATTTCCTACGCTTCGATTCCTTCTTCTCCCGATCGCTCGACTTGTGCCTCGACGGCGACGACGAACTCGACTTTCGTTTCTTCTTCTTCGATTTTTCGTGCCTGATCTTCTCCGGTTCCGTGTCCACGCTCTCTGGTGTGTCCACGGGAATCTCCTAATTCATCGAGAAATACAGTACAGTCACCGTAACTAAGCGTTGGTCCAGTCTGCGCGCGATCAGTTACCGCGATCGGTCGCAGAAAATCGAGGAGCGAACCGTCGAAACATTCGATTGTGATTGATGTAGCTGTCGTTCATATTCGTGTGAGCTGTATTCTGTTACATGAATATATGTCTCGGTTTTTTATCGCCAAACTTTTTGTAAAATTATAGGTTGAAATTGTAGGTTGAGAATATTTTTTGAGAAGCGAATCAAATGAAGTGATATCAATGATAAGTTTTTGCATTACCTCTTTATGCAAAAAATGACTCTTTTAACGAATATATTATTGTGTGTTTGTATGTAATTTTTCCATTTTCGCTGACGGTTTGCTCCTTGAAACTAATTTCATAAAGTAATAGAACCTAACCTAACCAGCGTTCATTTACGGAGGCATTTAGTTAACGTAACTTCGTTACATATAAAACTCAATAAAATTATTTTCTGCACGTGTCATTTAAGGTTTATTTATTTCACAGTTTAAGCATAAAACATTTCTAAAATTTGTCCTCTTTCCAAAATTAAATAAATTCATTTCAGATGCAAAATTAGTACATGAAAATCTATAAGAATCTACACATCTAAAATTCAAATCTCAAATCTCAGATTTCAAACTGAACAGTAATACAAAAAATTGCTATTTAAATGACAATAAAATAAACGAATGAGTTGAAAAATTGAACAATTACCGGGACCGGTTCCTGAACGGTAAATTCTGGTATCGGAGTTTCAGCAACGCTGCTCGATTCATCGTCTTCCCACGTTTTCACCTTGGCCTCAGCTTTCAGCTTAGGCTTCATCTTGCTATGTTTTTCCAGCTTCACCTCTTGGCTCAATTTTGCTTTCTCGGCTATAATCGAGCTAATCACGTTTTTATTGTGCAATGGCGTCTGTTTCGCAGGCTTGGGCTTCGATTTTGCTGATTTGTGACTCTTTGATGAAGATCTCATGGAAGATAGCCCGGACTTAAATGGCAGAGGAGTATAGCCAGTTTTGCCCACGTACTGTTCACAAGCGCAACATCATAATTTATAATGAACATAATTTTTTAAGAACTTTTTCGGTTTATATACGTTGATTTTTATGCAATTATGGTATGGTAGAAAATTTGCAGAAATATTCGTCGCGTATTTTGTGAACGAATGTACAGTTGTATTATGAAAAGGAAAGAAAGATGCACTTTTTTATTAATATGGCTGTTTGATAATGTTATATGTAAAAGAGTAATAGGGTACGAAAAGAATCGAATAATTAATGGAATATTAAAAATTTTGAACTCTCAGATTCGAATTTTAAATGCTTTATGTATTATTGATTTTTAAATATTAATATCTGTTAGTATTTCTTAGTATTTTCAATACTATATACTTTTTTACGCGGAATATTCAGAAAAATTGATCTCAGTAAAAAATTGCAGTTGTAATGAAAAAATATAGTTGACTTTGAAATTTTTTAACATTCTTAAAGTAAAAACATTATCACCGCTTATTATAGTACGTAAAAAATTAATTATTTTTATAAATACACTTCTTTTATGTTCATATAATTATCTATAATGAAATATTTCTAATTATTCATGTGATAAAATAATGTCCAGCTTTTTATAATAATAAAATGACACTTCTGTAAAATGACAAATCTGTAATATTCATATTTAAAAAATTTTAAATAATCATGTTCAAAAATCTTCAAATTGCAAATTTAAATCTTCAAACTCATCAGTTTAAGAATTTTCTAATGCAATGATTTTCAAATATTTTTATCACGTTTACAAACTTTTAAATTTTCCAGTTTGCAAAATTATAAATCAACAAATATTCACATTTGGAAATTTTCAAAATTAAAAAGTTGTAAATGTTCAATTCTAAATATTCTAAAATATTCAAACTTCTAAACTTTCAAATTTATAAAAGTTGTTAACAATTGAATATTCTGAAACTTCAAAAATTGACAAAATTCGGAAGTATCAATTAAAAACTTTCAAATTAATAAAATTAAAAAATTTTCAAATGTTAATTCTTATATTTACAAAAATTATACCTAGTTAATAGTTCAGATTTACAAAAGTTATAAACAATTGTATATGCCAATTCTCAAAGTTCAAAATTGCAAAATTACAATTTTCAGTTCTAAAATATTCAAATGAAGGAATTTTTTAAATTTTAAGATACTTCAATTGTTACACACAAAGAATTATACCAAATTAAATATTCAAATTTATAAAAGCTCTAAATAATCAAATATTCAAATTTATAAACTTAAAAAATTCACAAACTACGAAATTATTAATATTGAACTTTACAGTTTTCAGATTAACAAATTTTCCTTTCATGCAACTTCATTTGTGTCAACATAACAAAGTACAGTATTAAATGAACCAAATCCCACAGAAGAAACTCTTCGAATCGCTTCAGGGGTACCAATACGTTTTTATTTCTGTCGATCGTTAGCTCACAATAAATTTCGTTCTTCAATGTTCCTAAAAAATATGTTCAAGCAATGTTACATCTGGCGAGTGAGCTGAATGAATCTACCGTACAACATCTTTCTCATATACATATACAGCTTTTACTGAGCGAGCTTAATGGATGTTTCATGTTAACAATGTCTGACATCCAACAAGAACTGTGTTTACAAACATGACCTACCTTCGTAAACAGAGTTGTTCTGCACGCTGACTGAGTGGGAAAATTCCAATATAAAACGATTTATTTGGGAATATTTCGGTAACTGTTCAATTTATATTTTATCCGGTGTAATACGTTTGATACAACGTTCATTATTAGGTCATATTGACACGTAAAGTCATGAAACTGCATAAATATTTCTTTTCAACAATTCAACGACCTTTCTTTTCAGGGTATTAATAAAAATACAGTGTATTAATAGAAACCATTGAATTTTTGAATAGTTGCTATTGTATCCATGTCTCTGGTTCTTCCAATATGGCGACTTTTCCCAAGAGAAACATGGAATTTCATGAATTTCATTTTAATAAGACCGTTTATTGTGAAAGTGGTGCATAATTTGTGCTTCATTTACTACAAACATTTTTCTACAACTAGACTTGAGATAAATAAGAATTTTTAGGTGTACTTTAAGGCTCCATCAGTATGTCTAAAAAATCCAATATGGCGGATTGTCAGTGGCTTTTACCGTGAAACTTTTACTTTCGTTTTTTCACGTTACTCATGCAAATTCAAACTTGATATCTTATACGTAAAAGGTAATCATTACGTTCTTACACGAAATATGAAACAATTACAGTAATACGATTAGATGGATACATAACCTCAAAATTTGACCTAAACGTATTTTCACATTTTCCTTATATTTTTCTCACAAAGATCGTTGCGAATGAAAACCGTCTAATCTTTCGGAACTGAAGTTTCACTTATATCGAGTAATTCTAGACTTAATCAAAATTCGTTAAAAAGAGAAATTCGTAGAAAAAGAGCGACGAAAACCTTCAAACAACTGAACGAATAGTAATATTTTTTTTAGGAAGTCAGATTTCCTTTGTACTTTGAAAGTTCCTTACTTTTAGTTTAATTATTGAAACGTGCAGATATCCTTTCAAGTCTTTCAATAAATTCATTTCATTGAAAAGATACTAAAGTAATTTTAAAAGATACTTTCTACTTCATTTAAACAAAAATTAACTCAATTCTACAAACAACCATATCTGAATATCGTCATTGAGAAGAATTGTCAATAAAATACAATATGTGTTTCATACCACAATTACATAAAAATCGATAACATTCCTTTAGAGTAAAATTACTCACTTTCGTTTGAAGATGTCTATTTTTCGACGACAACAAGTAGCCAACAAGAGAACTCTTGCTTTTGGGTTTCTTCGCGACTATCGTTTCCGTCAGGTGTCTGACACTTCCGGAGGTGCACATCAACTTCCTGGGTCGACCGACCTTCCGCTTTTTCGAAGCGGAACTCGAACTTGCCACCGTTGGTGCTGGTGACGAGGTATCGTATCCCATCTACAAACATTTCAGTATAATCTGTAAAGATTTTTATTTCATAAATTTATAGAAAGATACTTTTATTACTTTCAAGGTAGACTCTAAAATGTAAATAACTGTTTGATTCGAGATACGTATGCAGAAAGATTTCAAGTTTTTAAATGTTATGATTTAGAAATTTGAAGATTTGAAAATTTGAATATTTCAAAATTTCTAAATTCTCAGATTTGTTAACCCATTCGAGACGACGATTTTTCTCGAACACGGTCTCCAGGAGCAAAGCTCTTTTTCTCTTTATATTATTCATTTTTAATAAAAAAAAACTAGATTACTTAGAATGTTTTCATTGCGTGGAGCGGATTGAACACCATGTGTGTAATATAAGGTGATATAAGGTTTTACCTCGATAACAATTTTATTCAGAATAATTGATAATTACTCATTACTACTGTTGCACACCTAGTGTGCAACCGGTCTTATAGCCTTGGAAATCAATTGCACACACGGTGTGCAATCGGTCTCGAATGGGTTAAATTAAAAATATAGAAATACAGGAATATTAAATTCTCAAATTTGGGAAACTGAAAATATTAAAATTTTCAAATTCAATCCCATAAAATGGTGTTTAAATTCATAAATTTTATTAAGCGAAAAATATAAAAATATAGAAATATTGAACTTATAAATTCTCAAATTTGTCAGACTAAAACATAAACTTCAAATTTTTAAATTTCTCAAATGCATACATTCAAATTTGTGATTAAATCATACATGGTATGTCCTGAAAGTAATGTCAGTGACTTTATTGTGACCGACTTCACGTTCGGTTAAAATTTTTTTTTTTCGGTTAAAATTGGTAGTACGGGAAGTCAGCTAAACAGATCTCCGCTGCTGAAGGTGCTCCGAGCATCCGGAGAGTGAGGACGAGCCTATCCGTGAGAATTGTTTTGTGTCACTGTACAAGTCAAAATGCAGCCCTCGTTAGAACAAAGAATTGCGATCAAGTTTTGCGTGAAACTTGGAAAGACCGCGACGGAAACGGTTGCTATGATCAAGTCAGCTTATAAAGAAGATGCCCTGTCAGATCAGCAAGTGTTTCGGTGGCACAAGGCCTTTTTGAAAGGCCGGGAAGAGGTCGACGACGAGGACCGTGCCGGACGGCCATCCACGACCACCACAGCCGACAATGTGACACGAGTGAGGGAATTGTTGCACTCAGACCGACGATTAAGTGTTCGTTTAATGGCCGATATGCTAAATATTCCAAAAACTCAAGTGTATGGCATCGTCACGAACCATATCGGCAGATAACTGGACGTTGCACCACGCTCCGGCCCATGCCGCCTTTATCGTCTCCGACTACTTGGTTAAAGCAGGGGTGCCAACGATTCCCCATCCCCCGTACAGCCCGGTCATAGCTCCCCCCGACTTCTTTTTGTTTCCACGAGTCAAAACACCCATGAAAGGCAAGATTTTCAGGACAGTAGACGGAATCAAAAGAGCTTGTACGGCGGCATTGAAGGAAATTCCGGAGAAGGCCTACAGCAATGCATTCGAGAGCTGGAAGACTCGCTGGAGCCGATGTATTAACGCAGAAGGAGCCTATTTTGAAGATTTTTAATCATTTGTAACGAGCAGTTCAATAAATGATTTGTAATCGACTTACTGACATTACTTTCAGGACATACCATGTATAAAGACTTTTAAATCCCCAAATTACCTCAAAATCTAACAATTTGAAGATTTTTAAATTCACAAGTTTTCAATTTTAGAAATCTAATAACTTGACTTAAATTCCAATACCAAACTCCCAAACAATACTCCATATTGTGCGTCACTGGTGCATCACTGATACACCGCATTTTTACTGACGCTATTGGCTACCATCGATATAGCTAACGCAAAGAGATTGAAATTTGAAACTCACCCCTCCCGAACTCTTTTCATCGTCGTCCTGCGACGTCTTGCTCGCTGGTAGCACGGTAATGGGTGAAGCCACTGGTGGAACCGGGATTGGAATGCTCGGTATACTGTCCAATAGTTTAATATGACTTCTCGGTTCACCCAGTTTCACCAAGTTTACGTTACACCTTGGCATAGCCAATACAGCCGAGGTCAACGGCGGTGGAGTTCCCTCTGGTGAATGTTCTGGTGATTTGTGTGGAGAAGATATTACCTCCAGCATAGGTGGCGATGCAAGAGGTCCATGTTCAGAACTGTCAATATTACTTCATAAATATCGATTTTTCCTACTTTACATTTAAATTTAATTATTCAACTTGAAATTTTAATCTATAATTTTTTAAATAACCTCAAACCTAAATTAAATTAGAAGAGTAGAGTACTTTGGAATCTAGCAGTTGGAGTTATAATAAAAGAATTATATTAGTATTAAAATAATTGAATTATTCGAATAATATAATCAGATATTTCAATAATACATAGGGCGTTGCAAAATGAGTTACTGAAACTAATTAGGTAGTATTAACAAGTATGTGTACATTAAGTAGTAGAGAAAACACGAAAGTAATACACTTTTTTGCTTACGCAAACGTTTTTAGGTAACTTTCACACGTGCATATTTGTTTTGTTAAAACTGAACTGTAAAATGAATGGTATGTGGTGGTTAAATTGAAGTGGTAATTCAGATCACTCAAGTAAATTTCTACTACTTCGACTTTCTTCTTAATATTCACAGTTACCCCTTCCCGTACTTTGACGAGTTTCACTCGTGACGCACTTACAGCTCAAATGTGACAAACTTTACTCAAATTTTGAATACTCTGCAACTTGAAATTTTGGTCCAGCTGTAAGTTACATTATCAAGGATCCCTGAATATAAAATAGTTACATTTTAATTTTCTTTGTTCGTTTTAATGTTATAACCCTGAATAGTTAGTCTTGACTGACGAATCTGTTAAATAAATGGCAAGGGAAGGTGTTAAACTATTCGTACTAAACCAACCATTTGTTAGAACGTTCTCAGATATCTTTACAAGTTCCTATAGTTAGTTTCCATAAATCATATATAGTTTGTAGGTTATTTCTGTCTTGGAAAACGCGGTGGAGACGAAAGTAACATATTACTATGGACGAAAAGGAACTGTAAAAACTGTATCAAGGGTGAAGTATTATGTCACAACTATATAGATAAATAAACCACGTACATGATACTGAAGAAATTCTCGAAGCTACTTATGTGTTCCATTTAACGTTATTTAAATGTATGAACATTATCTTCATCGTTACTTCAAATATAATATGCATATTTAAACGTTTGCTTCTATTGTTTCTTATAAGAGAAATCCTACTCTACTTTCGAAAAAGTATTTTTACTTAATTCTCTACAAATGATTAATATTACTTTCATCTTCATGAGTCAATTTTATTTTTATGAAAAGTGTTCTGATTTTCATTTCTATGGCTAACACCTGAAAAGTTGTAGATACGGCCCTGATGATGGAAACATGATAATGTAGACATCATTTACGTGAAATGATCTATGACAGAATAAATCAACCTTAATTTAATGGCGCGCTGTCGTGGGATTTTTCTCACCATGAGCTCATATGTATGCGCATGAATATACACGTATGTATATATTGTGTACATATGTACGTACGTTAATACGGTATGTACTTTCAAGAGCAAACCCGGTTTCCCTAAGAAAAGTGAGGCATTTGAAAGGGGAAATGCGTTATATGATTACTAGGGATTCTTCAGGATTTAAAAATGTAGAATGGGTTGAGACATTTGGGATGTCAAAGTTTGGGGATTTATGGATTCGGTAATATAGGGATTTGGTGGACTAGGAGTTTAAACCTAGGTATTTGGGAGCATAGGTATTTTTGAACCTAGGTTATATACGTCGATTACTAGGAATTTTTGGGGATTTAAAAATTTGAAGTGAGTTGAGAATTTTGGGACACAAAAATTTGGCGAGTTATGGATTCGTTAATGTAAGGATTTGTTCGATTAGGAATTTAAACCTAGGTCTTTGAAAACATAGCTATTTCTGAACCTAGGTATTTGGGACGAGGGGATGTGAAAATTTAAGAATTTGGCAAATCAGAGATTTGGTGGTAAAAGAATTTGAAGGTTTTAGTATTTAGGGATTTTGGAATTTAGATATCTAAGAATTTAGATATCTTCAGAATTTATATATCTAGGGATTTGAGGATAAGCAAATTTCGAAATTTAAATATTCAAAAATCTAGGAATTGATGGCTTTAGAAATTTGGGAATTTGAATATTAAAAAATCTCGGAATTTCTGACTTAAGAAGTTGGGGAATTTGGATATTAAAAAATCTAAGAATTTATGGACCCAAAAATTCGGGAATTTGGATATTCAAAAATCTGGAAATTTATTGACTTACAAATTTTATCAGGTAGAAAGTTTGAGAAACTGAAAATTTTCAAATTTAGGATTTTGGAAATTAGAATATAGATAAGTTAAAGAATTCTTAAATTTTCAAATTTCTATACGTGTACTTATTCAATGAAAGTCTACGTACACCGAAATATAAATATAACGTTTTGCAATAATAATAAGATTTCTGCAACCATCTTGCCCACGACCGTCTACCAAAAATGTTAGCATTCATATAATAAATATAAAAAAAGACATAATGTATACGCATAAAATAAGCAAATTATGCAGAACATCAAAAGTAACAAATTTGATTAATACTGTGTATATAACATTTAATTTTATTCCTTGAAACTTCCTTCTTCCCCTAAAACATCCTATATCTACCTTTTTCATCTGGACCTAACGATAATCTCATATTTAATGAACGTAAGAACATCATCGTAACACGCCTAGTTTTTAGCGCGTATGCGTCAGAAGTCCCACCAGTGCGCATCATTATCTTGTCCCACGAGTAATTTCATAACACGAGTTTGCTACAACCCTACTTACTCACTGTGTCAGAGACTCCAAACCGATTATATAAAAAACATAAAAAATTTACCTCGAAGAATGGCTTTTCTTCCTCGGCCTGCCAGGGCTCTTCTTCTCATCCTTTTTCGGCGTCAGTTTGGACAGCTCCCTCTGTTTCTCCCTGTACTGTCTCTGAATGTCAGCCAATCTGACCCTCATATCCAGCTCCATGGCGTCCATGTTCGGCCAATCTGCGTCATCGTCCATATGTCCTTTCCTAGCGATGAACTTCTTCGCGTCCAGCTTAGCCTGCAGGTTGCTATAATCGTGACAGTCGCGATGATCACCGGTAGACAGTCGTCTCTCCATGCCGTCGGGACCTTCTTCGATCATTTCGGACATCTTCTCGCAGTACATTTCCGTATCAGAGTCAGAGACGTTGTCATCGACGAAGTCCTTCTCGCTGTACACACCATTGCTCGCCTGGTACTGCTCGAAACCTTCTGGGTCCTTGTAAGGATTGCTGGCAACAGCGTCGTTGTTCAACAACAGCATCTGGTCACCTTCGACCCCGTATCGTTCGCAGAACTCCATACTCCTCCTGACCTTATCCTTCATCCTGAACACGGTATCCTTAGCACCAGCTTGCTGGTAAGGCTCCTCCTCATCAAACTCGTTCGACTTGAACTTCTTCGAGCCTGCATAGTCCTCCTCAGCGTATTTCCTCTTCTCTTGCCTCTCCGGAGCAGCAGCTCTGCCCAGGTTCAGCAGCAGCCTTCCAGCATGCGATATTTCTTCGGAGCTGTCCAGGTTCAGCTTCCGGGGCACCTTGTCGCCCACCTCCTCCATGAACCTCTGCTCCGCGAGAGCGCATAGTAGACCCAATGGGCTGTCCACGTTGTTATTATTGCGTTCTGTCTGGGGAGACATCAGTTTACCCTTGACGGGTGACTTTTCCAGTTCAGAAGTCGTGCTCTGACCCTCCGGTTTCAGCTGCTCCAGTTGCTCGATGCTGTTCGACAGCAGCTCCAGTCCGCTGATGTCGACCGCAGGCTTCTGTTTGGAGCCAGCGACTCTTGGTTTGACCACCTGATTTTCGGCGGTCTCTTCGGCAGCCTCCACTTTGCGGTGCTTCTTCGGCGTGAGGCTGTCCGTGCAGTTCATCTGGGACACGTCGAAAATGTCCGGGGATGTCTTCTCTTCCTTCACGACGGGCTGGTTCTCGTCAACAGTCGTGATGTTGTTGTTGCTGTTCCTGGCGTCGTTGTTGTTGTCCTTCAGGTAGCAGTCCCTGGGATAGTTCAGCAACGAGTCGAACGAGGATTCGGCAGTCGGTTGGGGCTTCTGGGGCACCTCGGGCTCTCTAGGCGCTTCTTGCTTCTCGGCCAGCTGAGCGTTCTCGCAGAACCTCAGCAGGTGCTTCTTGAGACCGTTCTCCAGCTTCCTGGGCGTTATTTCCGGTCTTCGTGGCTTGGTGTCGTCCTCCTTGGGAGGAGCCGACTCCTGCAAAGCGGCCACCGCGTTCTTCTTCAACTTCTCCACCACGTTCTCAATCCCTGGGTGAGACTTCTCCGCCGTGTGCTTCTTCGACGTATCCAGACACCTGGGTCTCTCGGCCATCGACATCGTCTCGCATCTGTACGGACAATCCTCGAACGCCGGCTCTTCAGCTTCCTGCTTAATCACCACTTGCTCCAGCTGCTCCTCGCAGTCGATATTGGGCATATCAAACGATTTCACGGTGATCTGCGGACGCGTAAGCGGTTCGGGCATCGGAACTGGATCAATGTTGCAGTTGATCTCCATTTTGGATTGGGTGGACCCTTTCGCTTGTGATTTAGTGTCCTTCTCAAGGTCTTCCGGTGCAATTGCCACTTGCCTATTTTCCGCCATTTTCGCGGCTTCCTCGGCCTGAAAAAATGGGTTTTGCTTCTTCTTATTATTATTCTTGGATTTAGTTTACAAATTGCAATAGAGCTTTCGGAGCTTCCTTGAGTGCTCTTTGGAGTCGATGATAATTGGTTTGAATTAGTTGTTTGGTAGATTATTAGAATTCAAGTTCATAGTTGTAGGAATTACGCAGTGGTTTACTTCAGTTCCCACGTGATTTTTTTTGCAAGGTCTTCGTTTTTTCATTGTATATGTGCTATCTTTTTTAGGTAGCTGGTGAAAATAACTAAAAAATACGTACATACACCATCAGCCATGAGTATTTGGATACTTGTAACTTGTATTGAATGTGATAGTTTATGTAAATTACTGAATTTTTGGCTCTTATAATAAATTACGCTTGTTTTTAGCATACATGATTTGTTATTGAGAAGTTGATTTGATTGATTAGAGGATCGAATTAATTCCCTATGCAAACCAAGCCTATTATGGACTTTGAAGGGTTTCGTGTATCAAAGCCTGGTTCTATAACGAATTTTGCTAGTTTGTAAATTTCTGAATTTGTGAATCCATGTGTTGATAAGTTCGTGAAATTGTAAATTCGTAAATTGTAAATTTGTAAATTTGTATATTTGTAAATTTGTAAATTTGTAAATTTGTAAATTTGTAAATTTGTAAATCTGTAAATTTGACACTTTGCAAATTAACAAATTTGTAATGTGCACATTTATTTATTTAACCATTTGTTCATTTGACCACTACTATGTTTGCAGAGTTGACACATATTAATTAATTAAAGTAATTGACTAGCTATTTTATACTATTTGATACATTTACTAATTGATGAATGTTATAATTAAATAAATGCAATTATTAACTCTCTGTTGCATATTTTCCAATTATGAGAAAAAGCATATTAATAATAAAAAAAACAGTTTCCATTTAGAAAATAGTATAAAAATAAATTATGGAAAGCTGCAAGTTAATATTTTTAAAAAGCAGAAGAAAAAATTGCAATTGCAAAAAGTAATATATGTTTTCAATAATTTTATGAACGATGAAATTTGTTTATTCATTCTTTCTTTTTAGAAAAATTTTGATCGTCAAATATTTCAGAATGTCTTTATGAAATGTAAATGAAAAAGTATATTATGAAATGTATATGTCATATATATAAATATAATATAATATTGTACATAAATATATATTATAAATTTATATTATGTAAAATATATTATTGATTACTATTTTTCATGATATTACAACTCCAATGTATAACGTCATAAATTTATTCTGTTGCATCTTTGTTATTTTTTTATTGTACCAACACAATAAAAAATAATAACTTTGGCGACACAAATAATTGAATTTACTAATCTGTAACATTGGCTAATTGTCCAATTAACAAAAAGATTATCGAGATTGTTGAATTTTTTTATTGTAAACATATTTCGCTACAAATATATAAAAAACTGTTGACACCCAGTGTAAAAAAAGAACAAAGTACAACAAAATACCAATAGAAATAAAAATTTGAATAGTTTAAGAAATATAAAAACTTGTTTTATATTTTCAACTTCTTTTTGTATGTAAAATAATGTATTTTCTGCTTATATCATTAATACTACGATATCCCTTATATGGTCCATAAATTTTAACTATAAAATAGTATAATTTCGAATTATCCAATAATTTCATAACTCTTTTTTGAATTCATCTCAAATTTTACATATATCCAAATAACACATCACTCAATAAGTCCCTGGTCTGACACATATATGGCGACACTGGTGACAGACCCACGTTATTTTCGAATAATACTAACCTTCAAACAGTACGTGCCAAAATTTCATGGTATTCTGACCAATAGTTTAGAAGTTACAGTCATTTTAGTACCCCCAGTTTCGTAATTTTGAAGACAATGGATAGAAAGGAATTTCGTGTGTTGATTAAACACTGTTTTTTTATCGGAAAAAATACTGTTGAAGCCAAGAAGTGACTTGATAAGCATTATAGGGACTCTGCACTAGGGAAATCGACTATCATTGACTGGTATGCTAAATTTAAACGCGGTCATGCAAGCACCGATGATGCTGAACGCTCTGGTTGCCCAAAATCAGCAGTCGTTCCGGAAAATATAAAAAATGTCCACAAAATAGTTTTAAAGGGCCGTAAACTTAAGTTGTGTGAGATAGCTGATGCCTTGAAAACATCAGAAGGTAGTGTCTTCACAATTTTGCATGAAAATTTGGGCATATGCAAATTGCTTTTAAAGTGGATGCCGCGTTTGCTGTTTCACGAAGGCAATGCGCCGTGTCACAAGTCGATGAACACGATGGTTCAATTGAATGAATTACGTTTTGAATTGTTTCCCCACACACGGTATGTTACGGATAGAACTAACTAAACGAGGCATTTCAGAGCAAAAATGAGAATTTAAAAGTATAGAAAAAATATAACTTTAGCGGGGTTTTCAGGGGCGACTGCTCAAAAGCAGCAGGCATGGCGAGTTTCCATGCCTCGAAGCCCTACGTGCACGGGGAAACCTGT